CAAGATAATCGCCACAGCTAATCGATATTAAGCCACACAAAAGCAGCTCTAAATCATTAAATTTTACTGCTATTTAGTGAAAATTGATAGTCTTAGTTGCTACATGCAACGGATTTGACCTAAACGGCTACATCTCTGTCATTTTCAAATAAGATGATCTCAGTTTGAAACTTTGGCTTGAAAGATGCCAGGCAACATGCACTACTTTACAAAATGCTAGGCCTTTATTTTTTCCCTTCCTGGTGTGATGCTTGTGTTTTCTGTAGGTGTTTTTTGTGTTTGTGGGTGGAGTGAGGGGGGAGGATGTGGACCAGTGGGGATGAGAGAACACCTAAATGAGGGAAATGCCGAGGAGATGAATAAGAGCAAAGGATAAAGCAGGAGGGAAAATGAGACTGCAGAGTGGAAATAGAGGGGACTGAAATAGGGGGGAATAGATGGAGGAGTGGAGAAAAGAGAGGGGGTCAGCAACAAAGCCCTAAAGTTGCCATGGAAACGTGTTTATGCCTCAATGATGCATCTTGTAGATCCAATTAGGGACTGATTGTGTCTGTGTCTTCATACACATATTATGCACGTGTACCCAGACTTGGCGTGTGCACACATACACACACGCATCCATGTAAACATATGTCTGCCTTAATACACACCAACACACAGGCAGAGAAGCAGACGGTCTCTGGTGAACACCAGTAAACTATGGGGAGGTGTAGGACAAAGGATACCCCGTGTTCTCTCTTTCTTATCAACTCTGGACTAAGCAAAACCCCTCCCTCTAAAGGGCCAAGAGCGGGGAAATAACGCTTCACTTGTGTCCAAAGTCTCTCCTGTCCACACATGATCTCATGACTAGGGACGCACGATATTGGATTTTTGGCCAATAACCGATATGCCAATAAGTTAAAACTTATTTGGCCGATAACCGATATCGATACTGATATTTTTTCCCTAGACTTGTTTACAGAGACTACATTTCTGCTGTGGAATTAAAATACTACATTACTCTGCATGGTCTTCGTCAATTTGGCCTGCCACCAAATGCAGATGCCAAAAAGGGGACTGAAAATGATACAGTGCCTTGCGAAATATTCGGGCCCCTTGAACTTTTCAATCTTTTGCCACATTTTAGGCTTCAAACATAAAGATAAAAATTTTTAATTTTATGTGAAGAATGAACAAGTGGGACACAATCGTGAAGTGGAATGAAATTTATTGGATGTGTCAAACTTTTTTAACAAATAAAAAACTGAAAATTGGGGCGTGCAATATTATTCATCCCCTTTACTTTCAGTGCAGCAAACTCACTCCAGAAGTTCAGTGAGGATCTATGAATGATCCAATGTTGTCCCAAATGACTAATGATGATGAATAGAATCCACCTGTGTGTAATCAAGTCTCTGTATAAATGCACCTGCTCTGTGATAGTCTCAGGGTTCTGTTCAAAGCGCAGAGAGCATCATGAAGACCAAGGAACACACCAGGCAGGTCCGAGATACAGTTGTGGAGAAGTTTAAAGCCGGATTTGGGTACAAAAAGATTTCCCAAGCTTTAAACATCCCAAGGAGCACTGTGCAATCAATTATTGAAATGGAAGGAGTATCAGACCACTGCAAATCTACCAAGACCGGCCGTCCCTCTAAACTTTCATCACGAACAAGGAGAAGACTGATCAGAGATGCAGCCAAGAGGTCCATGATCACTCTGGATGAACTGCAGAGATCTACAGCTGAGGTGGGAGAGTCTGTCCATAGGACAACAATCAGCCGTACACTGCACAAATCTGGCCTTTATGGAAGAGTGGCAAGAAGAAAGCCATTTCTCAAAGATCTCCATAAAAAGTGTTGTTTCAAGTTTGTCACAAGCACCTGGGAGACACCAAACATGTGGAAGAAGGTGCTCTGGTCAGATGAAACCAAAATCGAACAGTTTGGCCACAATGAAAAACGATATGTTTGGCGTAAAAGCAACACAGCTCATCACCCTGAACACACCATCCCCATTGTCAAACATGGTGGTGGCAGCATCATGGTTTGGGCCTGCTTTTCATCAGCAGGGACAGGGAAGATGGTTAGAATTGATGGGAAGATGGATGGGGCCAAATACAGGACCATTCTGGAAGAAAACCTGTTTGAGTCTGCAAGAGACCTGAGACTGGGACGGAGATTTATCTTCCAACAAGACAATGATCCAAAACATAAAGACACATCTACAATGGAATGGTTCACAAATAAACGTATCCAGGTGTTGGAATGGCCAAGTCAAAGTCCAGACCTGAATCCAATCGAGAATCTGTGGAAAGAGCTGAAGACTGCTGTTCACAAACGCTCTCCATCCAACCTCACTGAGCTCGAGCTGTTTTGCAGGAAGAATGGGCAGAATTTCAGTCTCATGTGCAAAACTGATAGAGACAAACCCCAAGAGACTTGCAGCTGGAACTGCAGCAAAAGGCGGAGCTACAAAGTATTAACACAAGGGGGCCGAATAATATTGCACGCCCCACTTTTCAGTGTTTTATTTGTTAAAAAAGTTTGACACATCCAATAAATTTCATTCCACTTCACGATTGTGTCCCACTTGTTGTTGATTCTTCACAAAAAATTAAAATTTTTATATCTTTATGTTTGAAGCCTGAAATGTGGAAAAAGGTTGAAAAGTTCAAGGGGGGCGAATACTTGCACAAGGCACTGGATAACACTTCCAACTTGGATTATGCTTAATGTCAAATTTATTTGTGACATTTTCTCTCTCTAACACAATGACAACACTCGAACAGTGCAAATTTGTAAATTTTCACAAATCTAAACTCAACCTGTTCACAAGCGACAAGTGTAAGTAGTATTGCATTAATATATATATTATCTATTATATATGCTATTAGTTAAATGGACTGTACTTATATAGTGCCTTTCTATCTTTTTGAGATACTCAAAGCTCTTTACACTACAATCTGTGTCCTTATTTACCCATTCATACAGCACTCTACTATATCTCTACGAATCTAATTGAACAAATCATCCTAAAGAGAATAATCAATGCTTTATCACATTCATACACCGATGGGACACACATCGGAGGCAGTGAGGGGTTCAGTGTCTTGCCCAGGGACACTTCGGCATGTGACTGCTGGTGGATTCAAACTCCCAACTCTTGCATTAGAGGCCGACTGCTCTAACCACTCAGCCACAGCCGCCTCTTTCCAACACTTTCAAAAACTTCCAAGCCACCGACATTTTCTTCTTCCTCTTCTGCTGTGATCAGATCAGGTCGACATGCGTGATGTTTTAATGTTGTGCTGGCGCTGCAGGCATCCTTGTCTCTGGGTTGTCATACAAAAACAGCGCCTTTTATATCGGTGTTATTTTGATAGAAAGTCCGATATGTAACTTTATCGCCAATATCGGCCGATACCGATATCATGCTGATAATATCGTGCATCCCTACTCATGACATAAAGAATAAGAATGACAGAAAGGATTTCAACCATAGTATTTTGGCTTTTTCTCTTTTCTGAATCAAGTCTTTGTTTATTGATGTCCCCTTTATCCAAAAAGAAGGACCATGAAGTTTAATCCAATCATGTTCAATTTCATGGGGGGTATTTCCTCAGAAAGTTGGATTAAAAATAAATAAATTCTGCTGATGGCTGGCTGTTTGCCCGTGTTTGACATCCTCAGATGAGGAAGACTGAAGATCCAAGGCGCCCCCTCCTCACCTCCTCCAGTCCTCCACACACTCCTGTGTCGGTTTGTTTCAGGAGGTATTGCGGCCCTTCGTTCGGCTTGTCTGAAGAGCCAGTTATTTAGTGGTGAAATGATGTGTGTGATGATGAAATGAGGGGGCTGCAGATAAGGTGAGAGGGAGGAAGAGGGGAGACACCGAGAGAGACGGAGAGAGAGAGTCTGTGAGAGAGAGAGACGGAGAGAGGGCCCCAGTCGCTGATGTCTTGTTAAAACGTGAGGGATCAGGAAGAACAACAAATGCATTGCGCGTTGCTAAATCCTGCTTAAATCCGCTGGCATGGGCAGATCTAGCAGATAGCCCCTCTGCTGGGCTCACTGTCTGCTATCACAACACACACACACACACACACACACACACACACACACACACACAATGCTCGTACACACACTCGTCCATAAACACACCCATGGTCAGTCCGGCTGTCTGGGTTAATGCTTGGCTAACTGGGACAGCAGAGCTGAACCATGTTGACATTTTAAGCCCCAAACAAGTCCAGAACAATGATTCAGCCCATCTGCACCCCTACCCCCCCAACAGGAGTGCAACCTCAGCTTATTTTTCAGACGCACACACACACATGCACTGCCCAAATACACTGCTGTGCTTCACACATACACACACGCACACCGGCTCTCCTCCTGTTGCCCGTCTTTTAGTGAATAAACGAACAAAAGCTGATCTGATGGAGTTGGCAGCAGAGAGTGAGGAGGAGAGGTACAGTAAGGTCACATGGATTATTTTAATCCTCCAGAAGATGATCATGACAGAGGGAAGATGTACCGAGAAAGCCTTAACCTCCCAGCCGACCGCTGCACACTGTTCTGTGAAGCTGGAGCGACGTCGGCAATACGTTAAGGCGCAGGTCTCATCTCGAAGAGATCTGTTGCGTTCCTTCCACGTAATGCGATCCACATCCACGACCGCGGCAGCCATTTTGTGTTGCGACAGCTTTCTTACCCCCTTCCTCGCAAACTTTTGGTATGCTTTGATTCAGATCCAAGTGGAAATGAAAAAAAAAAACGTAACTTGCTCTCGACTTGTTCTGAAGCGTGTCAAGCTGCTGCCTGCAGTGTTTTTGTGAGACAAAATGTACAACGCTCAGCCTGAAAAACCATATCAGACAAATCTAAACCCCTAATTCCCACAGCTCAAAGTTTTAGGACTATATAAACTGTACCTGAATTATGTGGCTGTTTTTCCAGACGTCTTTTATCTGTGAGTAACAGTTTGTCTTCCTCTTCTTTCCCCACCTCTCCCAGATTTCTTCCTGGAAAAGGTCTCATTATCTACCCAGACATTGGGGACAAGCTGGACATCATCTGCCCCAAAGCGGACCAAGGCAGAGATTATGAGTATTACAAGCTGTATTTGGTGAAGCGGGAGCAGGCGGAGAGTTGCAGCACGGTCCTCGACCCAAATGTGCTGGTGAACTGCAACAAGCCTGAGAAAGACATCAAATTTACCATCAAATTCCAGGAGTTCAGCCCCAACTACATGGGCTTGGAGTTTAAGAGGAATGACAACTACTACATCACCTGTAAGTTTGTCACGATAAGATGATGTATTGTTGATATTTAGCTTTTTAACCTTCATTCAACCGGAGAAGCCTGACTGAGCATGCAGAGTAATAATCTCTGCTTCACACTCAGTTACACACAGTCACACCCGGGAGTTTCCTATTAAAATTGCTTTTTGATGGCTGCTGCGCGGCCCCATAGCAACCACCTGGAGGTTCTGCGCCTTTCTGAAGACAGAGTGGTCAGAGGTGATTTGAGGTGTTAAATATTCCATGTTTTTATGGGATTCAAACTGACAAGCGTGACTGTTCTTAATGGTTTCTGTGCTTTTTTTTTAAAGCATTTTGTCGTTGACGTCGGAGAAATCTGGTCTTAAAAATAAAATCAGGAAAAGGTTGATTTTGAGAATTGGAAAATAAACCTCATGTTGTTTTAAAATTCCATCAGTTCACCACATTAAATGTAGTTATGGAGAATATATATATTTAAATTGGATCCTACACTATTATAGTCACTAAACTGTAAATTATCCCATAGAGGGATTTTAAGAGTAGCTAACACAATAATAATGTGTTTTTATTGTGATCAGTTATCATTTGACACTTGATGCCATACAGATGCACACATACACTGGTGAATATGTACTGTAGCTATTTTGAATTTAAAAATTACAAATTCACATGAGATTTTTCTGAACAAATTGTGGAAAATCAAAATAGACCTGAGAACACTGTATACCTGTGATAGCGGAGTACATTTTAGTATTTTACTTTAGCTGTGTTTCTTTGGTAAAACACTCAGCCTAATTGATTTATTGATAATTGTCCAACATTAAAAGACAAGTAACACATATATTGGTCACATTTGCACACTTGTCTCTTTAGACCTGTTGTAGACACTGTTCATTTCCACATTGATACAAATTAGTTTTTCAAGGTTTAAACAGTTCAATTGGAACACGTATATTCAATTAAAATAAAATGTGTTGCATGTTTCTTTATTGCAATAAAACAGTCAGTCTCAGTGAGATTCTTTGCACAGTGGCAGTAGCAGGTTTTAAAGAGCCAGTGGAGGAAAGCTGTCACTCTCTTCTGCTTGGTATTTGGGTTGTTTGTGACAATTATCTGAGGTTCTAAAAGAGTAAATGGTGGATTCTCAACTGCATCACAGTCCTCCTCCAGGTTGGGTTTTTCCATCTGTAGCATCTTTTTCTAGAACTGGTCTGTCGGAACTTTCAGCAGGTGGACCTCAAGGAGTTAGGGGAGTTAAAGCTAGTGATGCACGAGGTCATCTGCATGGTGTCGGCCAATATTAGCGATAAAGTTAAATATTGGACATCGGTCATTCCATCAAAACAATTCACCTATATGAAAGGCACTGTTTATATATATATA